GGCAGGGGGCGGGGCCACGAGGGGAAGCCAGCCCAGGGGCGGGACCCGGCAGGGGGCGGGGCCAGGGCGGGAGGCCAGTCCAGGGGCGGGACCCGGCAGGGGGCGGGGCGAGGCAGGTGTGTTCTCATCACAACAGGAGCTCTGGCGCCCTGCTCAGCCCCAGGCCTCATCCAGCCTGTTTCTGGGGGAGCCCCCACCACTATGCGCTCAGCCAGCCCAAGGCCCCTCAGGAGCATGGCTCGGGAGGCTCGGCAGGCCTTCATCGCTGAGCCTGTTTCTCTCCCCTCTGTAAAGCGGGTTTGAGTGTCCACCTCAACCATCGGCCTGCTCACTACTCTCCGAGCACTGAGCACTGGTCCCCGCCGGCCTCCCGGACCCCACATCAAGCTTCGCTGGTGCCGCCCCCACGCAGCTTTGCTACCGCTGCTCCCACCACTGCCATGGCGGCGCAGTGATCAAGCGCCTGTCTACGAGCAGGAAGGCTGCAGGGGTGCTGCTCTGCCCCAAAGGATCGCCCTGAGTTGGAACCGCTGTGATGCCCAATGGGTTTGCTAACCCAGCGGCACGAGGAAGAAAGGTCTGGGGGGCTCAGTTTCTGTAAAGAACCCCTGCGGGCCAGAGTTCTGGTCTGCATGCACGCTGGGAGTCGGACTTGCCAGTTTTGGGGGTGGCTCCTTCCATCATGGCCGCCTCACAAATGCCATCTCGGGGGTTTCTGGTCCCTGAGAGTTCCGAAAAGGCACCACTGGGGCCATGTGAGCCTGGACCCCTGCTGCCGACCCCCGACCCCCAGCCCCTCCTTCTCGAGGCCTCTCCTTTTTTCTCCCGCTCCTGTCTCCCACTCAGTCTGACCTCAGGCTGCACATGCCCTCCTCCATCTGTGTATCTTTGTCTTTGCCTGTGAGCACCCCGCTTCATGGGAGCCGAGGGCCCCTGAAGCTTGATCTAGCCTGCAGGGCCTGTCCCTCACCTGGGGCTCCCACAGCTCAGAGGTCCCATGGCAGGGACACAGGCTCAGCATCTCTCCATACCTGGATTCTGGGGATCTGTGGTCCAGGTAGCCAAGGCAGCCTTGAGGGACCCTCAAAGGCCAGGACACAGCCTGGGGCTGGGGCTGGAGGCTCACTCCACCAAATGGGCCTCCTTCCACGGGACCCCGTGCTGACATTTTGATTTCACACCAGTGTGCTCTACGGGGCAGAGTAGAATGGCCCGGGTTTCTGAGACTGCAGGAGCAGACAGCCTCGTCTTTCTCCTGAGCAGCAGCTAGTGGGTTTGAACGACCGGAGTTGCAGTTAGCAGCCTAGTGCTTAACCCACGGCACCCCCAGGCTTCTGTGTGGAAAGGCCCCGGAGGGCGTGTACCCTCTGTGGCTGGGCGGGCAGTCTTCATCACGTGCTAGCACCCAGCAGACACCTGCCACCAACTTTATCCATGTCCCCAGATGCCATCATCAAGAGGAGGGGAGGGTGCTATCCCGGCTGGGCCCTCCCTCACAAGCCTTGATATAATTAAGCTCAGACACTGTCAGCCTCCCTGTCCCCGGCCTACTGTTGCTGCTCTTCCTCTGACCCAGACTGGAGCTCAACCTCTCTCCTACCAGTTGGGGTGAGTATCTAGGTGGGCAGGGCCTGGGACCCTGAGCTAGCACCATTCTGGCCTCTGGCACACTTAAACCAAACAGCCCGCTAGCAGCCCCTCTTAATCCCATATCGGCCCCCAGGCATCTCTTACCAGGCTTGGGGATGAGTCCTTGGAAGGGCCTAGGAGAGAGACAGAAAGTGTCAGAAGGTGCAGGCTCAGCACTTGTCCCTGGCGTGGGGTCTGGGATAAGGTGACCCGATTTTAACCTTGGTAAAGCGGGACACCATTGATAAAACTCATATCCTGGCAAAATAGCCACATGGCAGCCGGAAACCGTCTACCCTAGCTTGTCGTGCATTCTTTCCAAAAATCAGGACTTTTATAAAACGCCGTGGGACGGGGGGAAAAATTGTTTAAAAATCGGGACGTCTGGTCACCTTAGTCTGGGAGCATCTCAGAATCCTTCGGGCCCACCTGCGACCTGCCTGTACTTAAAAGGCCCCTGGGAGCCTGGCCAGGGCCTGGACCAGGAGCCAGCATAGGATGCTGGCTCTGGGTCCCTGGACACAAGGCCTACCTAGGTTTCCGTCTCTGAACTTGAGGAGCCTGGACCAGGGGCCTGTCTGGGGCCGGGCACAGGGTGCTGGCTTTGCCACCTCGGACACAGCCCTTATCTTGGTCCTGTCTTTGAAACAGGTCTGATGCTACATCTGGTGGAAAGCGGATGCTTGGGGGGGAGGGGGACCAGGTCAGAGATACTCCTGAAGGCGCTGTTTTCAGTGGGCTGCCGTCCTCATGATGGGCTTGCTCCACCCCTGCAGGGCACCCACTCCCTCCCAGGACTGCCCTGTGAGTGCCGCTTCGGCCCGCTGGGAGGGCAGGCTGGAGGGTGAGGCCAAGGCTCGCTGGTACAATCCCCCATCCGTGCTGGGCTCACCGCCTCACCTTGCCCCTGCCCCAGCGCACCTGGTGACCGTGAACTTGATCTTGTCGGCCACCGCAAGGATCCTCTCCAGGTTCTGGGAGCCGAAGGTGCAGGGCTTCCGGAAGGGGATGCCGGGGGGCAGACCCTCAATGATCACTGAGCCAGGGTTGCTCTTGATGCGCTTGTAGGGGACCTGAACTGGGTACTTGATTCCCAAGGCTTCTCCTGTGGGTGAGAGGGGAGCAGGTCAGTCACCAGGAGGAACGGCGGGGGCACAGGGCTGGGAGTGCTGGGCCTAGGTGTGAACACGGTGGGCACCACAGGTCAGCTGAAAACGTGGCAGATCAGAGAATGAAAGCTTGTGCCCATCTGTGAAAGCGGCCACGTCTACAGTGGCTGTCACACTATCCAATCCAGCAGATGCCCGGAGTTCTTTAGCAAGATCTGACATAGATGGTGTGGTCCTTACGTAACTTTGGGTCAATGTGGAGCTGTAAAAGTGAAGGGGTGGAGTCTAGCCTGTCAACCATGTCACAGCCTGATGATGCCTCCTTATGGGCGTGGTCTTCTCATAAGGAGGATCCTGGGAACCTCCCACCTCTCTCTGTCTTCACCTTCCTCCTGGAGAGCCACCTGAGACCTGCTGGAGCCCTGAGATGCTTACACTGTGCCATTGGATCCACAAGACTTTGCACCGACCAGCCTGAGATCTCCCTGCGTTCTGCATCGTTGCATGTGGCTGTGTGAGTCTGAAGAGGGACTTAGGGGCTAGTACTGGGCTTACGGACTTGATCTGGACTGGGCTGGGATGTTTGCTTGATGTATAATTACTTCTTGATAGAAAGCTCTTTGCTGTACAAATGAATGTTACTGGGTTTGTTTCTCTAGTCAACCTGGCTTAACACAGATGGCCACACCCCCTCCTTGAGCCCCCTCCTCGGCAGCCTGGTGGTGCACAGCTGCTAAACAATCAGCAGCTATCCAGCAGGTGGGCAGTTTGAACCCACCAGTCCCCCTGTGGGAGAACGATGTGGCCTGCTGCTGCCGTGAAGCTTTACAGCCTGGGAGAGCCAGTCGGGGGCAGTTCTGCTCTGTCCTGGAGGGCCGCCGAGTCGGTACTCACTTTTTCAAAGTCTGTTGCCCATAGGGCCCCTCTTCTGAATTCCTCTCTTCCTGACCACCACCAGGTCTTGCCCCGCCCCCTGCTGTGGAAATGTCTCTACCTGTTCCTGACGTGTACAGGCGCTGAGCCCGAATGAGGGCACCGTGAAGCAGAACTCACTCAATGGGCCAGAGGTCTGTTGAGCTTGGGTCTAAGCCATCTTTCTTTATCCTAACTCAATCCACCCCAAATGACACCCATCATCTCCCACCACCCCCTGCCCCAAACCAGGGAGTCCTTAGTAATGCCCATGGTCAAGCCTTTGGCTGCTAGCCAAGAAACGGGCAGCTTAGACGGTCCCCCCAGAGGCGTCGCCAAAGAAAGGCCTGGTGATCCCCTGCCGAAGATCACAGTGGCAGTCCCTGAGCAGCAGGTGGATGACACACCCAGGCACGTTCCCTCCTTTGCGACGGTGGCGACCCCTCACGCAATCGTGCCTCTCCAAGGATCCTCATCAGGCTCCAGGAGAGGCGAGGGGGAAACACAGGAAGGAGCGCTGGTACCAAGCCCAACCTCCTGCTCCATGGACGTCCAATGCCCAGGCTGCTAGAAACCCCCACGGGCTTTCGCCAGGCACAAACAGTCATTTTGTGTGTTGGCTGCTACTGTCCTCTGTCAGCCTGCAGGTGGGAAAGCGAGGCTCACAGAAGGAAGCCCCTTTAGACGGAAGCAGCCCTGAAAGATCCTGACTCTAGATGCAAAGTGGGAAGCCCTCCCAATGAGGTAGTTAGTTTATTGTGCCAACCTGGCCAATAAACATGTGGGATTAATTGAAGGGCAGACACATAAATGGCTCTGCGAGCCTCACCTTTCTTGTCTCTTGCTCTGTGATCATCGGGCCAGTGTGCGGCTGCCTTGCTTGTTCTGTGCCTCAATTTGCAAGCTACTCTACCTGTGGGACACCTAACCCGTGGACTGTGTCGCTGTAATTTGAGGTTCTTTCAAGACCTGCTTCGCCACGCTACTGGAATTTACATCTCTTGAGCTGAGGACTGTCGGACCCTGTCATCTGGCTGACTGTTGGTGACCTACCTGCCTTGCTGATTGCTGCCTGTGCCTGGATAGCCTGAATTGCTCTACAGAGGACCACCCGGCGGCCCTCAAGACGTGAAGGACTGCCAGTGTCTCACAACTGTCTCACGGGAGTGAGTTGCACTGAGCCATTCGTACTGCTTTATAATTTAATGAACTGTTTACTTCTTATGTTATCTATCTATCTGTATCAATATATATAAAAGTATTAGCATTCTGGTTTTGTTTCTCTAGAGAACCCTGTCTAACACACCCAATAAGCCCGTTTCGGATTCCAAACAAAACAGCAGCAACACAGGAGCTGTCGTGAGCAGAAGTGACTCCCGAAGCAGTGGTTCTCAGCCTTTCTCCTGCCGCGGCCCTTCCGTACAGCTCCTCACCATACAATTAATTTCTTTGCTACCTCATCACTGTCATGTTGCTGCTGTGATGAATCGGGCAACCCCTGTGAAAGGGTCGTTCGACCCCCAGAGGGGTCACGACTCACAGGTTGAGAACCGCTGCTCTAGAGCCAGGGCTTGGGGTAGGGTCGAGGTCATCACCACTTGCCCCTCAGACTCAGTCCGTCCCAAATGGCACCCATCATTCTTTCCCCTCAAACGTTCCTAGCCGGCGGGTACTGCCCTCTCTCCCTGGCCCACAGCTTGGGTGCCCGCAGGGTCCCTCCCTCCCCTCTGCAGTCGGGCCCGTGGACAGTTCCAGCACCCACTAGGGGTGCACGGCCCACTTGGGGAAACCACGGGCTAGACCCGGGCTCGGCAGACGGTGGCCCCTCAGCCAGAGGTGCTTTCTGATGCATTCACGTATGTGCCTCTGAGGTCAAACTGGAAACCATTAAAGGTCTTATGCAGACCACGGTGATCTCGTCTGTCTGTAAGAACCACGTATGGTCCTTCAGTAGTTTTCACACAGTTGTGGGGCAGGATTGCCTCTTTGTCTGGAACATTTGCCGACTCCTGGGGCAGAGGGTGGGCAGGTGTTAACTTGTGGGGAAGGAAACAATGTCCTACGGGAGAGGAGAGGGGAAGGGATCAAAGAGGAGGCGAGCTATCGGGACCTTAACGAAGTCGTCGAATACCAAAAAACCAACCATCTGAAGTGCAAGCCCCGCATCTAAGTCACAATAAAGGATTTTAAGAAAAAAGGGGAGATTAATAAAAAATCCCTGTAATAATAGCCCTGCTTGGAAACCAGTTTCTTTGATCATGTTAATCCGTTCCTGCCTGAGCAGGGTAGGGGCTCTGAACCTCATCACTTTGGCGTGATCAACAGGGCTCGGTGGACAGAGACTCGCGGAGGGAGGAGAGAGCCAGTCAGACAGGGAGATGGACTAGCCATGGAGCAGGCGAATGGGCAGCCGCCCCATGGAAAGAGATCAGCACCTCAGCTGGCAGCCTGAATCCACCCTGCAAGCCTCCTGAACTTCTAGAAAACACAGGTCAGCTCTTCTTGTGGTACGGTGTCAGGTTAGCACGAGGTGGCTATGAGCCCCCATCCTTCAGTCTCTTCCTCCGAGAGCCCTTCGTCGGCCCCCTGCCCAGTGTACCCCGACTCATGACCAGATCCCACGTGTGAACTGTGCTCCCCAGGGTCTCGGGCGGCTGACTTTTGGGAATCAGACTGCCAGGCCTTTCTTCCGAGGCACCTCGGGGGGACTCGACCCAGAGGGGCCCTCGAATGCATGTCTTTCTCCAGCTGCCAGCTGGTGCCACCATGCCTCGTCATCTGTGGACCCTGGAGGGATGAGCGGGGCTGGAGGCCTTCCTTGGCTGCCTGCGGTGTCCCCGTGCCCGGTGCCTGGCAGGTGCGTTAAGAAACACGCATGCGTGAACGAGAGAGGGCGGCACCAGCTGGAGGCTCCGGCGCCAGCACTCAGACGTGCCCCCACCACCCGCGCGGCCCCCGGGGCTCACCATATTTCTTATTGAACAGGTCCTGGACCTGCTCCCTCAGCGTGTTGGCGATATCGATCCGGGACAGGCGGGTGTCGTAACTCTCTGCAAAGGGAGAAGCCGGCCGTGGGTTGGGGCTGTTTCGTGAAGAGGCGCGGGGCGGCTTTTAAGAACGATGATGCTAATTATGGGCAATTAGACACTGCTTGGTGTGCCCCCCCCCCAACCTCTCAGAAGGGAAGGGCGCACCCTGACAGACCGGCACCTGTCTCCGCACGTGCACGGCTCTGCTGCAGCAATGGCAGTCGAGGTGGAAACTAAGCTAATCGCCGGCATTTGAAAACTACCAAACGGAGAACGGTGATGGGGGATGAGGGACACAGGGGGGCGGGGCCAGAGCAGGGGCTCCTGCAGGGCAGGTGGGGCCGAGGGGGACAAGCTCAGGTGGTTGGGTGACCAAGAGCCACAGCGTGGGCGGGCAGTGTCCATGGGGGCAGGGCAGGGCTGGGCTGGGCCAGCAGCTCCTGAGCTCACCTGGTCCCTAAGAGTGTGCCCATTAGGGTGTCCCAGACAAGGCCCTGTATCCTGGGGGGGGGTGCGGGGTGTGTGCGAGGGGAGGCGTGGATGGAGAGGGTGTGGTCATGGGCTCCCCTCATCGTAGAATATTCTGGATGCCTGGGAAGGCCGGTGGGAGCCTGGGGTGCCATAGGCAGCCACCCCTTGTTCGGGCTCTTTCCGCCTGGGCTCTGCCCCCTCCACCCCGCTAGGGGAAGCCCAATCTGACCCATCTCACGGTCCCTACTTCCTCCTCCGGGCCCTCGTCTCAGGCATCCCCCACTGGAGTGTGGATGGGGGCCATGTGCCTCCTTCCTCAGGCCCACTTCGGACTGGCACCATTCCCCTCCCTGCTCTTGGCCCAGAGAGCCTTCTGCTTCGAAATCTCGGAGCACAGAGGGCAGACCCTGGTGGTCTAGGCTCTGTCTTGTCCTCCCTGACAGCAGGGTGGCTGCCCGCAGCCTGCCCCAGCCCAGCTCACTCCAACACCCCCAGACGCGGAGGTTGGGGGCTGGCCCTCCCCTCCCAGGCCCCAGTCCTGGCCCCGGGTGGCCTGACCCACCCTGAGCTGCAGCCTTACCTTGGAAGCCCTGTCTCTTCAGGCTCTCGTCCACCAGAGGGTCCCCGGAGTCCCTCTCTGGGGGCGGGGGAGAGAAACCAGGGTGAAGAGGCAGTGCTGGGGGCCCAGGGGAAGAGGGGGCCAGGACTGAGGAAGCAGGGGTTACCGGGCACCAGAGCCTGGGCCCCACTCACGTCCCGCCCTCGGCCCAGCCAGGCTACCTTGACTTTCTGTGACAGGCTCTTTGATGCCCTCGGTGAGCAGATCGGGCCTGGAAAACATAAAAAGTGGTGGTGTCAGCCCTCTCTGGGCCTCAGTCTACGTATCTGTGCAACGGGCCCTCGCGGGTCTGGAGAGGTACAAGCCGACACACAGGCTTTCGGTGGAAGTCCCAGATGCCTGGCCTTGGCAGGCTGGCACTTTCTGACCAATACTTGCGGCTGGGAAAAAGATGAGGTGTTCTACTTCTGTAGAGAGTTACAGTCTCTTGCGGTAATGATTGTACAACTCTTCTCGATAAGACTGAATGATAGACTTGTGTGATATGTGGATCAAGTAACAATAAAACTCTTATCATAAAGACAACAGCAACAACAAAACAAAGAGTTAGGGTCTCAGAAATCCACAGGGAGAAAGAAAGCCTGCCCTGTCCTATAGGGTCACTCTGAGTCGGAATAGATGCTATGGCAGCAGTTTTGGTTTTAAAAGAGCTGATTAATATTCTTGGATGAGCCCTGGTGGCATAGTAGCTTTAGCGTTGGACTTTGAACCTCAAGGTAAGCAGTTCTAACCCACCAGCCACGCTCCGTGGGAGAAAGAGGAAACTTTTTGCTCCCATAAGGATTTGCAGTCTCGGAAACCCACAGGGGCAGTTCTACTCTGTCCTCTACGGTTGTTACGAGTTGAAATCACAGTGGGTTTTTTTCTTTTTAAGTTTTAAAATTATTTTTATTAATCATTCTATTGGGAGCTGTTACAGATATTATTATAACAATGTTCATAATTCAATGAACATCCTAGTGGGTTTTTATCCTCGTTTCCCCTTTATTACGGTCTGTATTAATTATGCTGAGAAAAATAGTCCTTAGACAGGGAGAACCCTGATCCAATACTCTGTCAGCACTCGTCGTGCGGGGCCCCTGGCTGGGTGGGTCCGTGAGGGCACCACTGAGCAAACACACTGGCTGAGGCCTATGATGACCGAGCACCCCCGCCGCAGGCCCAGGACTCCTGCACACCTGCTCAGAGGACGTTCCCAGGGACACCGGAGAGCAGGCTGCAGGCATCGCCCAGTTCGATGCCTGGGTAGACGGAGGACTGCTCTCCCGAGGAGGTGCCGGTCTGGTTGCCTGAGGTCTGGCAGTGCTGGCAACTTCACCCCCAAACCTCATCTGCTGACCCCACAGTGAAGAACAACCCATCCGTTTGGGGTCTTAGACGCTCACGAGCGACCATCTAAGATACAACTCTCAGCCTCTCCCCGTCCAGAGGAAGCAGAGTGATGACACGTGGACTCACTAGCTAATGAACTCATTAACGGGCCACGGGAACCTTCCCCTCCACAACCGAGACCAGGAGAAGTAGACGGAGCCCAACAACGTCTCCCAATGGCTCTGGAAGGCGTCGTCGCTCAGAGCAGGGGTGGGAAACATCCTGCCCTCAGCTACAGAAGGCCTGAGAAATCATTACCCCCAGTTCACATCACAGAGAAGCAGGGCTGGCCATCACAGCAGGAGTGAGTTAGTGTGACAGTTTTTGTGTGCCAATATGGCACCCAGAAAAAAATGTAGGGGTGGAGTAGCCTGTGGATCAGGTCACAGCCTGATGGTGACTCCTGGTGGGCGTGGTCTCTGGGAACCTCCCTCTCTTTCTCCTTTCACCTTCCTGCTGGAGAGCCACGCTGGGACCTGCCAAGTCCTATGATGCTTCCACCACCGTTGGATCCACAAGACCTTGCACCCACCAGGCCGGTGATGTTCCTGCATTCTGCATCATTGCCTGTGGCTTTGTGAGTCTGAAGAGGGACTTAGGGACTAGTAGTGGACTTACGGACTTGATCTGGCCTGGCCTGGGATGTTTTCCTGGTATACTCTGTCTTACACATCTATGGGTATCACTGGATTTGTTTTTTCAGCCAACCCGGCCTCGCACAGTTAAATGCTGGATCACATACCGCAGGTTAATTTCTATGCTGATCCTTTTGTACGGCCTGCGAATGATGTTGCACCTATCCAAATGGCCCTTGGCAGCAGAAAAAGCTTCCTGACCCCCCTGCCTTAGAAGGGCCTGGATAGAGTGGGAGAAAAACGTGGAGCAAAACTCAAACCCAAAAAGGGTCCAGGCGTGTCGAGAGAGACTCCGGGGTCCCCCTCAGACTGCGGCCCCTGGTCCAGAACCTCCAGGTCTGGCCCTGAACTCACCTCACCCTGGTGACTCAATAAGCAGCCAAAAAAATAATAATAATAAATAAAAATAAAAATAAAAAATAGGCAGCCAAACAGTAGCCCGGGGAACAAGAATCCTTGAGAGACACACACACCTCAGACCAGGTCATTGACAAGCCAGCGCGGAGGATCAAAGGGGCAGCATCTACCCCAGGACAGAGCTGAGAAGGGCTGGGAAGGGAGGAGTGGAAACAGACCGGGAACCGAGTGGGGTGAGCGCTGTGAGGCAGTGGGGGCGGCGGTGGGTGGGATGAACGGAACGGGTATCAATTGGTGGGTGGGAAGCCGGGCAGCTTCTGCTCCTTTTCACCCCACCCGCTATGAAGTGAAGTCTTTGGGGCCCAGACAAGGAAGGGGGCTCTTGGCTCAGTGCCTGGTGCAGAGATGCTGCCTGGGGTGCCCGAGGCCCCGGTCAGGCCTCACCTCTTGATGACGAACTGGATGCTGTTGCTGGCCTCCAGGATCCTGCGCAGCTTGGCGATCCCGAAGCAGTTGGGCCGGCGGAGTGAGATGCCCTCGGGCAGTCCCACCACGAACAGCTCCTCCGGGTACATCAGGAACTTGGAGTAGGGGACCTTGACGGGCTCCGAGATGCCAATGGCCTTGGCTGCAGAAACACGGCTGCTTAGGGCCACCCGCCGGCCCACCTCCCAGGTCCCCACAGCCACCAGAGTCCTTTCCAGGGGGGAGGCGAGGGCTGTTGCCCTGTGGGCAGGTTAAGTGGCCCCGAGTTCAGCAACCTGGCCGAGCTCACAAGGTCACAAAGCAGCAGAGCCGGGGTTACACCTGAGCCTGTGACGCCCACCGCTTATGCCTAGGCCCCTGTCCCCCTGCCATGTCTGTAAGAGAAGCCAGTGGCGCCCAGGGAGATCTAGCGTCCATACCACCCAAGTCCACGTGTCCCCACGATGCCAGTAGGCCCCTCCTGGAAGTCAGGGTGACCCACCACAAATAATCCCCAAGGCCTACTGCATGGCTTAGAGACACGGCCGGTCTGAAGTCCAGGCCTGGCCCTGCCACTCACTAGTGGGGGGCCTCGGACCAGCCGTGCCAGCCTTGCTTTTCCTCACCTGTACAGTGGGCACTGGGAGCCAGGGTGTTGTGAGGTAGGATGAGGGACATGGATATTGCATCCAGCCCAGGTCCTGGTGACCATAGGGGCTCGATTAAGAGTGGTCTGATCCTGGGTTGGGTTTTTGTGGTTTTGTTTTGTTTTGATTTTGTGTGTTTTTCCTGTATATGAAGCGCAGGATAGATAAACCTAGAGACGGTAACTGGAAGACTGGTTTCCTCGGGGCATGGCAGGGAGGTTGGCGGGAAAGGAAGCGCTAACAACGCGGAGTCCCAGGAAGAAGGCCTGTCCTGACATCGATCCACCGCTGTTTAGAATAGGACTGAACTACTGAAATGTGTGGCATGTGAACTACAGGTCAATAAAACTTTAAAAAATTGTTGTCTCTTCCTCTCACCACCGTCCCCCCATCCCCCAACCTTCCCTGGTCTCTGGAGAAAGGACGTTCTTGCTACAAATCCTCCTGGGGGCCATGAAGGCAGAGGGCGGTGTTACCTTAGTGGGGTGACTGGCTGGGGCTGAGGTGGCCCAGGAGAGTGTAGACAGTGGCGGTAGTGAGCCAGGGAGTGAGTGTGAGCACCGTGTCGGACGAAGGAGGGCAGGGGAGCTTCGTGTGGGCACGTAGGAGGAGGGCAGGGGAGCTTTGCATGGGCGCGCAGGTGGAGGAAGGAGGTGGTGGAGTGCCTGGGGCACTGCCTGTCTCCATGTGGAGGTGTGCAGGACACCTGCAGGGAGGGGCGTAGCTGGGCAGCAGGTCCCCGGGAGCTCCCCCTACTTCTGTCCGTGGGTCGTGGCGGCTCCGGGGCGCGTGCGCAGCCCGCTCACCGTATCGCGTATTGAAGAGAAGCTCCACCTGCTTGCGCAGGGGCCGGATCACATCGCCGTGGCTGTCTGCAAGGCAAAGGCGATGTGCTGAGCCCCCCCCATCCCCAGGCACAGCAGCTTTGGAACCGCTCACCTCCTGTCCCAGGGCCCCAGGGTGGGAGGATGTTGGTGGCCAGAGTCCTGGCCCTCACCCGCCCTCCTGCCTCAGGCTCCTGGAACTTGGGGGAGGAAAGACGATGGCAGCGTGCTAAGTGACGGCAGGAGCTGTGTTTGCAGGCAACCGGATCCCTCTGCCAGGCAATGCGAGCAAGGCACCTGTTTAGGGCCCTTCAGTACAGGCTGGGAGCTGTGCAGTGGACTAGCGGGTGTGCTTTGCCCAGCCAGTGGGGTACGACACCCCCAGGTGGCAGTGGACTTTTGAGGAGCCCTTAGGGCAGCGGTTGTCAACCTGTGGGTTGCAACCCCTTTGGGGGTGGAACGACCCTTTCACAGGGGTCACCTGATTTCGTAACAGTAGCAAATTGACAGTGATGAAGTAGCAACAAAATAATTTTATGGTTGGGGGGGTGTCACTACAACATGAGGCACTGTATTAAAGGGTCACAGCATTAGGAAGGTTGAGAACAACTGCTCTAGAAGTTTAAGACCCCCTCCCCACCTAGGCCTGCCTGTCCCAGGCCTCCCTGAGCAATGCTGTTCTTAGGACAATGCTAAGCTGGTGCTCCCAGTCCTAAATTCTTCCCGCTCTGGAAGAAAGCAGGAGGGAGGACGTGGACGAACCAAGGAAACAGGGTTTTCAAAGACGAGCCTATATGTTTCCTCCACCTTGGGCAGCCCAGAGCTCCCGCCAGCCCTGGGGTGCTGGAGAAATGGGGAAGAGACGCAGAGACTCAGGGGAGCAGGGAAAGAGTGGGATGTGTGTGTGTGTGGGGGGGAGCGCAACTCACCTTCCATGGGCCTCTCCTCCGGCCGCAGGTCCTCGCTGGGGCCTTTATCTGAGAGAGAACAGAGTGGGCTGAGAAGCCACCCCACTCACCACCCAGCTGGCCTCGCCCCAACTCCGGAGACAGCAAGTCGCCCAAAGTGGGGCTGGGGACCCTGATTCTTTAGAGATACCCTCTGGCCCCCAAGATCCCAGAGAGGGCAGTTCTGAGCATAGACACCCTCGCATGTGGGCGCAGGCCCAGTGCCAACCTGCCAGCCCATTCTCCCACTGGTGGACGCTGAGTGCCGGGGACACAGTTGCCCCAAGACAGAGCCTTGTCCTCCGTGGTGGTGTCAGATGCGGC